CGCCGTAGTCGCGGTTGCCGCCGTCGTCGTCGTCGTCGTTTGAAGCGTATGTTTACGGTGCCTGGCGCGGCAGCTCTGGCGCGCGAGATCAGAAGGAAATTGCGCGGCGGGGGCGGGGCTGGGGCAGACGCCTGCCCCTTTCGCGGCATCGCCGTTATATGTCAACTAGCGGTGCATGTTTTGCGCGGGCTTCTGTCTGAGCCCCATGCCCGCCCAGCCGCGTCCACCGACCGACGTCGGTCTTAATGCTTTTTTATGTCAAAAAAAATAGCCGCCCCGCGCATGTGCAGTAGCGCCGCGCCGAGTATGCCGAAGTCCAGTTCGCGCGTTGTGACAAATCCCCACGTGAATATGGCACAGAGAACGTCAAATGTCATAGCAAATCGGCGCCATCGCAACAGCATGCCGATATCATTTTTTTGCGCCACATTGAAATTTCACACGCGATGTGTTGTTGCCGCCGCCATGTACGAAAGAAATTGAGTTGAATTGCTGTCCATGCGTGGTGTAATGCGTCTTGCTCGAACCCATATTACTGTTGTGCTTTTATAACCTTTCACTGAGGGCAGTCTCGTTCGAATCGTTATAGTTGTAGTAGCTGGTGCTTATGTAATATGATGCTTTGCGCGGCTGTATGTTGTATATTGTATCAATCATCGTTTGTTTGCTGCTACCTCGTGCATTGATGTGGCCTGCATCTGTACTCGCCACCTGCGTCTGATTAACAGTAATGTGTGTGCTGGGGCTTATTCGGGCTGCTTGGGTGGCGCACGGCGGGTTGGGCCCCTCGTAGCCCTCTCGGGTCGTGGGGTCTAGACCCTTTCGGTTTACCATTGAGCACTCTGGACCATTCCTTAAACCCGCATCGGGGGTGTCCTGGGCCGCATTCGAGGCTCACAAAAAAAAAAACACACACAACAGCACGCAGTACTTTCAAGCGTGCGTTTTGTACCTGAAGCCACAGCCTTGTGCACTAATACCCCAACATAGTTCGTCGCTACATCAATAATGCAACGGGGTTACTTATGTACATGCAGTGGTCGGCAAAACCCCCGCCCCCAGCCCCCCCTGTCCCTCCTTTTTTTCGCCCGCCTCCTCCCCCTGTCATCTCCCCCCCATGTGAGTAAGTGTCCCCTCGCCTCCCACTGTTTCCTCTCCATCTCCAATCCCGTATCTCTTGTCTCCTCCATGCCCGTCTACTCCCCCCCCCTCACCCCCGCTCGCTCGCAACCCCCTTCTCTTCCAGGGCCTCTTGCTTCCATTATTTCCTGTCCGTGCTCCGGCCGCCCCCGCCCGCGTGCCTCGGCCGCCGTGCCCCAGTCGTTCGCGGCTTATCGCCCTCGCCAGCTTCTCTCGCACTCGCGTTCCTTTCGGTTCAGCGTCGGGGGCGGCCGCGAGCAGCGGGCCAATCTGACAAATTGCAAGACTCGGCAACATCAAGCTTCCAACGGCGCAGTGTTTTGATGAAGGAACGTGTTTCATGTGCGGGGCGAGCACGGCCCTAGAAATGCATCGCGGGCGGCGGCGGTCGCGGTTCCGACGGCCCGCCCGTGTCCAGGGTCCCAGGATGCGCAGTTCTCTCGACAGGTATGAGTGCCATCGGCTGTCCTCATCGCGACGTTTCGCTCCGAGGCTGTGGCTGGGGGTGGCGAGTCCAGGGGGCGCCGCCTCGTCAGTGCGGGGTGACATCGTTTGGGGCGGGGTCTACAATGCGTGGAGGGCTCGCTCTAGCAGCGTTTCAGTTGGTGTCGCGCGGTAGTGACTTCGATTCGAACGGCTTTTCCGTGCGATAACTCGGGGGTTGATGGGTCCATGGGGTCTCCTGCAGTCGGGTGCCGATGCGTTGACGCTGCGGTTGCAGGTGCCCAATGCACGTCGATGCCCCAGCCATTTTGGCTCGATGCCGCAGCCCAGCCGTCTCCGAGCCGCGAGCCCGAGGCCGCTGCGTCGCGCGCCCTTGTCGCTCGGCCTGCGATCGTCATGGCCAAGTCCAGCGCGCCGCCTGCGCCGCATGGGGGGCGCCAGGGCCAGGGCGCGAAGAGGGCGGCTGGCGCGAGCGGCGGCGGCGGCGGCGGCGGCCCGCCTTCCGCGGTCGAGGCGGCCCCCAAGAGGAAGGGCAGGAGGTGCGGCGACTCCTGCCAATGCGGGTTGTGCAAGGCGTATGCCAAGGACACGCGGGGCTTGCGTCGCCTTGTTTACCGATGACCAAGCCCCGTCTGCATCGTATGACGCCCTTGCCGCTTCCCTGATTGCCGTCTTCGCCCGCGTGCTTACCCCGTCCTCCTCCATCTCTCCCAATCGCCCTCTCCATCGCCCCTCTCAGCTCCCCCGCCCCCTCCCCTCCTGCCGACCTTGCCCCCCCCCAGGTCTTGCCAGGCACCCCCCGCCGCTCACCTCCTCCCTCGGCCCCGCGCCAGGACGGCAAGGCGTGGGCCCTCAAGAAGGTCGTCAACAAGGCGCACGGCTCGGAGGAGATTCCCGTCGGCGACGCGTGCGAGGACTGCTTCGGGCTCCACCAGCAGGGGTTCCCATATTTGACGTGGGAGGAGCTGTGCATGCAGAACGAGAGCGACGCGAACATGAAGGCCAACGTGGCGAAGGCTCGGAACGCGCGGGCTGGGGCGGCTGATGCGCCCGCGATCGCCGAGTCGGTAGCCACCCACGACGAGTGCGGCATCGAGATCCGCCAGCGTTACATCGCGCTGGACGAAAGCGAGCTCAGGAGCGCAACGGGCAAGAAGCGGCTCGCGAAGAAGTTCACCGATCCCATGCCTCAGGTTGCCGTCCCCAGCGGCGCCAACTCGACGGATCAAGATACGTTGTACATGTTCGCCGACCCCGAGCACCCGTACAGGACCGTGGACCTCATCATCAGGAAGGGCATCAACTTGCAGTCCAACTACATGCCGTCCTCACAACATTTCTACGACGACCAGGGCTCGCAGATCGCCCGCCACAACATCACCGACACGTTCGCTGCCACTGGCGTGAACGCGTTGCTAGCCAAGAGCGCCCAGGGGTACCTCAAGAGCTTGGAGCAAGTCTTGGCCACGGACGCCCGCGTTGAGCAGGAGGGCGAGGATGCCGCCACCGCCGAGAGCGAGCAGGTCGGGGGCAACGGCGGAGTCGGTGGTGGCAGTGACGGCGGCTCCGACGGGGCAGAGTCCCTTGTTGGGGTTGCTGCGTTTACCCCAGCAAAGAAGGTCATCACCTTCCACGCGACTTCAGGCTCCAAGAAGGGGAAGAAGCTGTTCGGCAAGCAGCTGGCCTCGCCGACCCCGTCAGGGTCGCCAGCCGCGCACTTGGGTGCCGCGGACGGGTCAGCGTCCCACATCGCAGACTTGCGCGACGTGGATGACGACGGCGGGAGTCAGGCGAACACCATGGCGGATACGGCGCTCGTGTCCCACGCAGCAGGCTTTCGGGCGAGCAGAAACGGGTTGCGCATGGTCGGGCTGCCCCCTGGTAGAAGGGGGATGGGGGGGAGGGGGTGTAGGAGGAGGGATGATGGAGGAGGACGAGGGGGCGAGGAGGGGGAGGGGCAGGATGAGGAGGATGTAGGATGAGGAGGGGGTGGAGGAAAAGGGGAGGAGTTTCGAGAGAACTCCCACATCCTCCTCCTCCTCCTCCTCCCCCATCACCATCCCCACCATACCTCATCTTCCCCTCCTCTCACCACCTCCTCCACCTCGTCCACGTCCTCCCCCCTCATCCCTCCCACCTCCACCTCCTGTATAGTCATGGCCCTCCCCCCCAGGCTGCTTGGACGTCCTCACGTACTGGAAGAGGAAGATCCCCCTGGAGAGGGTCCTCGAGAACACCCTGGATGGGAGGACGATCTCGGCGGCGAAGAAGGCCGCGTCCCGCCTCGCTCAGATGGGCGGCACGAGCGCGACTGATGCAAGCATTCTCAACAACTTCTTGAAGATCGTGGTTGCCGCCCAGACCTTGCAGACCGACAAAATCCGCGTGCGCACCAAGGCCGAAAAGGATGAGTTGATCAAGCTGCTGGTTGTCGAGGACGCCCAGTGGCCCCTGGTGACCCAGGAGACTCTCTTGAACCTCAGCCTCGCTGAGTTGGAGAAGACCCGCGACCTCGGCAAGCTAATCGAGTGCATCGCACCTTGGCCCAAGGACGATTCTGCCGTCCCAGATTTCGACCCCTTGAACCCCACGCTGGTGTCGTTGCCAGTGGATATGGACCACAAGATGTCGGTGATGGTGCACGTGCTGATTGAGAAGCTCCTCGTCCCCGCCATAAGGATCGGCTTCGAGAACAAGGCTCACGTGGTGAATATGGTGGACACGTTCATTGATGCCTACGAGAACGTCGACCTGGTCATGCTGGGCGGAACAGCCAGCGGGGCATTGGGAGACATGATGGACTGCTGGAAGGGGATCAAGGCGCTGGCCACTTCAACGATTGATATGGACTTGAAGGACCGTGAACTGCAAACCTCATGAGTATGACAGCGCCCACTTGCCCGCCACTTCGGCCCAGTCTCCGAGGGTGCGGGGCATCGTAGATCATTGCAGGTGCTGGGTGGTGTTGAGCGGGCTTTGGTTTTTGATAGCGGTATCGTCGATCTGGCCAGAGTGGAGCGGCGTTGATTCGGCCCCCCCCTGGGCTGGCCTCCCAGGCCCCCGCCGTTCCGCCAACATCTAGAATATATGTAACGAGGGTGGTGCTTGTCTTGGGTGGGGTAGTGCCCATGGGGTCTGATTTTCTTGGGGGTAGCTAGGGGATGTTCCTGGGTCGTAGCGGCAATTCGTGTTTTCCTCTTTTGCTTTTTTTTTTTGCTTTTGCTTTTTTTGCCTTTTTTTTTTTTTTTTTTTTGTTTAGTTTTGTTTTTTTTTGCTTTTTGTTTTTTTTTTTGTTTTTTTGTTTTCTCTTTTTTTGTTTGCCATGTGTTTTTTTTTATTTTATTTGTTTTTTTTTTGTTTTTTTTTTCTGTTTTTTTTTTTTTTTGTTTTTTTTGTTTTTTTTTTTTTTTGCTGCCATGCCCGCACGTCCAGAGGATTCCGTGCAGAAGATCAAGGAGTCGACGGGGCGGACGCACAAGACTGCTTTGGTAATGGTGGCGGCTGCGGTCAGCGATGAGACCTGGTTCAAGGCCAGACTCTCGGAGTACATGGTGAAGCTGCCAGGCATGATCGAGCACGCCCCCATGTTCCGCAAGTACAATGATATGCTTGCGGGCGGGTGGACCCCCACGCTGACGAACAGTGCGTCTCTCAAGGATGCAGCTCTATTCATTGCTGAGGCTCGCGAGTGCCTTAGGTCGGGATCTCTGGACGAGTTGCAGAACAGCCTCTACGCGGCCTCTGCGAAGCATCATGAGTTCATGGAGTCCGAACCTACCAGCGACCACGCTGCCATGCAACAGTGGTCGAAGGCCATAGAGGAGGCGAGCCTCTGCATGTCGGGCCACGCTAGCATCGAGGACTGGAGGGCCGCGGTTGCTGCCAAGCTTGCCAGCGTCAGTGCGGATAATATGAGCGCCCGCATCTTCCGCGATATCAGTGACGCCAATATTCTGAACCTGTCCGAGCAGAACGACCTGACCGATGAGACCATGGACGCTCTGAGCCGCATTCGGGGCTCCATTCCAGAACCTGCGCAGGCGATGAAGTGGAAGGACGACCAGAGGCCCATTGTCGAGGCGTGCGTCGGTGGCGTGTTCGACTTCATCGCCCAGCAGATTTGCAGCAGGTCTGATTTGGACAACGAGTTCTTCGCCATCAACATGGGCCTGAGCGTCATGATGGGCGCCGTGGAGGGCTCCGACATGGCGAAGGAGGAGGCGAAGATGTTGGGTGTGTATCTTACGGCCAGGAGGTCATGTATTAGCCTTTGGAGTGACGGCAACGGTGGGCACCTGCTAAAGAAGGACATCACAGCTTCAGACAACTACCGCAACAAAATGGACCCGATGCAGCGGCACATTATGGCGCTGGAGGAGCAGCTCAAAAACATCATGCAGAAGGATACCCGTCGTTTCCACAGGTGGGTCGGTTTCAGCAAGGAAGTCAAGAGTCTCGTCCTCGAGCTGACCGCCCAGCAGGCCAACGCAGACGAGCGTGTGCTGAAGACTGCAATTCAAGATCTCGCCTTGGTTGCAACGGGCATTCCTGGCGCCACGGACCCGACGGAGTCGTGGCTGGAGACGTTCAAGGGGAATACGTTCAAGGACCTGCAGAAGCACGCCGACGAGACTGTGCTCAAGACCAGCCCGCAGCAGATGGCGACCTTGAAGTGCCAGCTCCCTGAGGCCGCTGACGTTTTGCAAATGCATGCAATACATTTCGCGGGTATTGCATTCGTGGGCGACGATTGGTTGGGTGGGGGGGGGGGGGTTAGCAGGGGAGTGTGACTAACATGATGAGGATCGAGGGTGGCGGGTTTGAGGCGACGGGGGAGGCGGGGGAGGAGCGGCGGGTAGCTCCCCTGATGAAACACAAAATCTCTCAGGCCACGGCGAACTACAAGAACTCAGTCGCGATGGCTGGCAAGGCACTGGACGACGCGCTCGCCGTGAACGCTGGCCAGGTCCTGCGCGACTGCGCCACTACGAAGGCCTACGGTGTGCTCATGAAGAAGTTCAGCAGCGACATGTGCCTCGACGACCTCCGCGACGTCGTCGCCGCAGAGGTCAAGGCGTGGAGGGCGGAGACGAAGCTCAAGGAGAAGGACGCCTTCCACAAGCTGATCCTGGCGAGGGTTGTGAGCGCCCTGCAGAAAAAAAGGCGAGCTAGGCCCTCTTGGCGGTCGGCAGCGGGGGTCGGACATGCAGGTTTGTAGTTGTGTTCTGGGGCGCGGCAGGCGCCGAGCAAATATTGCCCCTCTCCCTGCCCAAGGGCATGTTACGACATATTCGCGATTCAAAGTGCCAGCGAGCGTCATCACGCGACAGTTGTGCCATACTCTCTAGATTTGCTCGGCGCAGCCCCCCACGCCCTTTCGCGCGTCGCCCGTGACTCGGGCGCAGGCCGTCCGCCCAGGATTGGGCGGTCTATTACCCGGGAGATGTTGATACAGCAAGCGCGGTTTCGCTTCTGCCTCCGATCCCCCGCTCGCTCGTCTCATCCGCTTCTCCGCCTCCCCCGCCATTCCCCCCAGTGTCTCCCTTCCTCCCGCGGGGGCCTCGTCCGTCATCTTCCCCCTGCCTCTCCCTTCCTCCGCCCCCCCGCCTCTCCATTCCTCCCGTGGCGACAGCGCGACGATTGCGACTGTAGCGTAGCAGGGTGGCTGTATCGAGGAGTGGAGGGTGGAGGGCGGGGGGGTCGGGGAAGCGCGGAAGGCTCGCGGGGGTTCGGCGGCAGAGGGCGGGGCGGAACGACGTGGGGAGAAGGGCAGGATAATGGGGGGATGTGGAGTGGAGTTGCTGGGCGAGCGAGGGCGGTTTGCTCGCTGGGTGTCTGGGGACGTTCGCCCCCATGCATGGGCCCTTGCGGGGCGCGGCGCCGCCGCCGATCCCGAGGCGCCCCCGATCGGCGCTGGGGCCGCGGCGTGCAGGAGGTCCGAACTTGTTCGATCGATTTCTGATGGGCCGACGAAGTGCGGCGCGAGCCGCGCCCTCGTGGGCAAACGCGTTAGAACGGCTCCGCTTGTTTGGGAGTTCTGGCCGCGGGGGCCGTTGGTGCGCGGTCGAGATGGGCTTAGAGTGCGCTGTATCCTATCAAAGTCTTGTTATGTATATGTTCGGTGCGACCGAATGCATGATAATTTCGACTGGTGTCTGATTTTGCTGAGCAGGCCCTGGATGGTACCCTCTACTAGCTGTCGCCTCCGTCGGGAGGGGCGTCGCGCTTTCCTGCTGGGCGCGTGCCCAGGGTCTTGTTGCAGTTGGCTTACTTGTATGCTTATATTTCCGTTAGGTTGCAACCATAAATAAAAGTTACTTTGGCCTTATTATGGGGTTACTTTAATGATTTTCTTACTTGGAGGCCCCTGGCTCCCCTTGCCGCTCACAACCCTCGCTCGGCAACAAGACGGGGGGCCAGCCAGCAAGTGCCAAATAGCCCCTTGCGGGCGACCGCTCGATTGCGAATGGGCGACCGACCAGCGGCGCCAGCCAGAGTGGACAATACTCGACGCAAAATGCTCCCAGCGCGGAGGCTGTCAGAAATCCCGGAATCTCTGGAATGTATCAATAGCAACCTGTGTCAATAGATTCTCCTCGACTTAACTAAGAAGATTATTGGCAAGAAAAAATACATTATAATAAGAAGAAATTGTACTTATATGAATGATAATAATAGGAAGAAGAACAATAATACGAATACTGGAACACATAATAAGAATACGAAAACGGGAAAAGAACACGACTAATACTAATAATCTGAGGGGGCGGAGGAGGAGGAGGAGGAGGAGGAGGAGGAAGAGGAGGAGGAGGAGGAGTAGGCTGTCGCAGCCTGGAGGAACTCGCGCCTGCTGCCTGGGCCGCCTTTTGGGCGCAGAGCTTCGCGGGTATCCGAAGGCGCAGTGGGCTAGCGCAGGCGGAGGCGGAGGCGGAGGCGGAGGTGGAGGAGGAGGAGGAGGAGGAAGAGGAGGAGGAGGAGGAGGAGGAGGTGGAGGAGGAGGAGCAGGAGCAGGAGCAGGAGAAGCAGGAGGAGGAGGACGAGGAGGAGGAGCAAGAGGAGGAGGAGGAGCAGGAGGAGGGGAATACTGTGGAGGGGGCGGGGCCGATGAGGCGCACGAAGGGAGCAGGAAATATGAGCGCGAGGACCATTTCAAGGACGAGGAGGGGGAGAATAACACACAATTGGCGTATGCATGAGTAGAGAGTAGAAAGGCGTCTAACGAAGGAGATGATCGAAACCAAGTGCCCCAGCCAGCCCAACCTGCCAACTCAACCAGCCAGCCCCGACCAGCCAAGTAGCCCAACCAGCCACCCCGCCGCCCAACCAACCCGTCAGCCAACCACCCCAACCAGCCATCCCGCCATCCGACAAACCCGCCCATCCGCCGCTGCTTGCCCTCCGTCTCCGCCTACAGGGGGGGGGAATTTGTTTTTACAAGCGGCAGCAGACAAATCACCATTTCAGGGGCCAGGCGCGACATCAGGCGGAGGGCAACTCGCACGGTATGAAAGGGGGCGCGGGGCTCGCCCCGCGAGACCTGCCGGATAGTCGGGAGCGTCAAATGTGATACGGTCGTCATCATTTGACTGGTCTTCGCCGCACCGCTTTTCCCAACGGAAGGCTCAAGTTCTCGAACGTGTCGTCATTTTGCAGCCCCGCGCGCGTCTTCTGGGAGGGCTCCCCAGCGCGCTCTGGGGAGACCAGATCGCATGGCAACGTCGGGGGCCGCGTTCAGGAGGCCCTGGGAGGCCCCAGGAGGCCCAAGGAGACTCCGAGGTCCGCGAGGTGCAAGGAGGGCCCAGGAGATCCAGGAGGCCCTGGGGAGACCCAGCCCGCCCCGGGAGGTTGAAGGAAACGCCGGGGGAGTCCCAGGGGGCCGCAGGAGGCACCGCGAGGCCCCAGGAGGGCCCAGCAGGCTCCAGGAGCCCAACAAGTCTCCGAGAGGCCCGTGGAAATCCCACAAGGCCCCAGGGGGTGCCATCGTCTATCGCGCGGGAGGGAAGGAGGGGGATGATGATGATGCTGGTGATGATGATGCTGCGGATGATGATGATGATGATGATGATGATGATGATGATGATGATGATGATGATGATGATGATGATGATGATGATGATGATGATGATGACGCTGCTGATGATGGTGATGCTGATGATATTGATGGTGATGGGTGATGGTGATGATGATGATCAGCTGATGCATGATGCTGCTGATGATGCTGATGAGATGAGTGATGGTGTATGGTGATGGTGATGGGGATGGTGATGGTGATGCTGATTATGGTGATGGTGACGGTGATGATGATGATGATGATGATGATGCTGATGATGATGATGATGATGATGAGATGAGGATGAGGATGATGATGTGATGAGATGCTGATGATGATGATTATGATGGAGGATGAGGAGAGGATGATGATGAGGAGAAGGAGGAGGAGGAAGAGGCGCGGAGGAGGATGAGGATGAGGAGAGGTACGGATGATGATGATGATGATGATGTGATTTGATGATGATGCTGTTTGTTTTGTGTTGATTTTGTTTTCTTGTTTTTTTTGTTGTTGTTTTTTTGATCTGCTGATTGATGGCTGATGATGATGATGCTGATGATGATGATGACGATGACGATGATGATGATGATGATGATGATGATGATGATGATGATGATGATGATGATGAGGATGAGGACGAGGGTGATATTGAGGATGATGATGAGGAGGAGGAGGCGGAGTAGGAGGATGAGGATGAGGGGGAGGATGAGGATAAGGATGAGGATACGGATGATGATGATGATGATGCTGATGATGCTGACGATGATGATGACGATGCTGATGATGATGACAATGCTGATGATGCTGCTGATGATGATGATGCTGCTGACGATGTGATGATGACTATGATGATGATGATGTTGATGCTGATCCTGATGCTGATGCTGATGATGATACTGATGATGATGCTCATGATGATGATGCTGATGATGTCTCTTACACTGATACTGATGCTAATGATGTGGCTGCTGCTGATGATGATGACGACCACGCCGATGACGATGATGATGCTGATGATGATGATGATTCTGATGCTGACGCTGATGCTTCTCATAATGATGTTGATGCTGACGCTGATGCTGATGCTGATGATGTTGATGATGACGATGGCGATGCCGATGATGATGCTGGTGATGATGATGCTGCTGATGATGATGATGAGGATGGGGATGAGGATGCCGATGATGATGATGCTGCTGATGATGCTGATGATGTGGTGATGATGATGATGATGATGATGATGATGATGATGATGATGCTGGTGATGATGATGCTGATGAGGAGGGGGAGGCGGAGGAGAAGGAGGAGGAGGAGGAGAGGGAGGATGAGGGGGAGGATGAAGACGAGGATGAGGATGAGGATACGGATGATGATGATGCTGCTGATGATGATGAAGATGCTGATGATGACGCTGATGATGATGATGATGATGATGATGATGATGATGTTGATGATGATGATGATGATGATGATGATGATGATGATGATGATGATGATGATGCTGATGCTGCGGATGATGATGAGGATGAGTATACGGGTGATGATAATGATGATGTTGCTGATGCTGCTAATGATGATGATGATGAGGATGAGGATGTGGATGATGATGAGGATGCTGATCATGATGATGATGATGCTGCTGATGCTGATGATGTTGATGATGACGATGGCGATGCCGATGATGATGCTGGTGATGATGATGCTGCTGATGATGATGATGCTGATGATATTGATGATGCTGATGATGATGTTGATGATGATGATGATGAGGACGAGGAGGAGGAGGAGGAGGACGAGGAGGAGGTGGAGGAGGAGGATGCGGGGGCGGATGAGGATGAGGATGAGGATGATGATACGGTTGATGATGCTGCTGATGATGATGATGATGATGCTGGTGATGTTGATGATAATGATAATGATGCTCCTGATGATGAGGATTATGATCATGCTGATGCTGCTTCTGATGATGCTGATGATGATGCTGATGCTGATGATGATGATGATGATGCTGATGCTGATGCTGATGCTCATGATGATCATAACGATGACGATACTGCTGATGATGCTGCTGCTGATGATAATGATGCTGATGCTGATGATGATGCCGATGATCATGATGATG